AAGCCCGTGCGCGTCGAGTCACCCCTGGGCGCTCGCATTTTTTGTTGTTGTTCTTCCTCCTCCCCCGCAGACGTTGTCGGCCCTTCAGCTGGCAGCGCAGAAGCTACATTTCTTCGTCTACCTGTCGCGACCCCCATAATGGGCTCGGCGCGAGACATGTTCTGCAGAGAGCCAGCTGAGCCAAAGGTGTTGCCGACAGTGCCGCCATCGGGTTGCGCCCCTTTCCCCCGCGCGTGAATAGCGGCAAGGTCGGGGGCGTCTTCGGAGGACTTCGTCGGAAGACGAGCTCGCCGCATTGCTGGGCGGGGCGCAGACGGGCTTTGAGGCGGAGTTGCTGGATAGGCGCGGCGTCGCGGGTCGGGGGGTGCGTCGGTAGCGCCACGGTTGCGCTGGCCAGACGGGCTCCGAGCCGAAGCAGCTGGAACCTGCCGAGACACGTGCGCCACCGGCCTCGATGGGTTGGTGGGCTTTCAGCAGATGGCTTCGGCTTTCCCGCGCTTTTCGGGTTATGTGAAGGTCTCGCGTGGAGAAGCTCAACAGCGTTGCCGATTGCAGCTCAGAGGCGGGTGATGCGCTCATGTGCGCGAGCAAGTTTCTGGTCAGGAATCGCAGACTTACACTTGCTCCCGCTCGGCCTGGTTTATCCACGACAAGGCATCTCGTGGGCGTTGTGCCGTTGCCGCCAGCTCAGGATTGAATGGTTCCAGGCGTCGCGTTTTGCGCTGGCGGCGCCCGGTGGCTTGGGGCGCCAGATGAGCGGCCTGGCGCCGTTGTCCCAGCAGCGCCTCGAGAGATTGCGATGCCGATCTCGCGTGTCAGTCGAAGCCGCTTCTACTTCGCTTCTTCCCCGAGCGCGCGCGTCGTATGCGCGGCCGCTGAGTGCCGCGGTCTTTCTGGCTCAGGTTCTCATGTTTCGTTGCGCTGGTCGCGCCAAAGGCTGGCCCTGGAACTGCCTGAGGCCCCTGCGCATGGGGTCTGACCGCGGCCGAAAAGACGCGCGGAGGCACGTTGAGACTTCGCGCGCCAGCAGCGGAAATGCCTTGGACGCACCAGGCCGCAATGGCCCCGCGAAAGCCACGCGGAGACCGGCGATGTTGGATATCTTTCAGAGTGTTTCGAACAAGCAGATATTGCAAGGGACCGAGGCGCCGAACGACGCGTGCTGGGGGGAATCTCTGTGGCCCCCAGTCGGCAGTTTCTGCCTCGGGCCCCCCGTCCCCCGCGGGCAACCTCGTCGCGCGCGGTCGCCGGGAGGGCGTGAGCGCCGCTCGTCACAGTGGGGCCTCAGACATTGGATGAAGAGTGAAACTTGGTTTGGCGAATGCTGCCCTGCTAGTCGCATGGGTTTGATGTAGTGTGCTATGGCGCATCGTGCGGGCTTCGTGCAGGTGCACTCGCGGTTTCGCCCCGTTTTTGCTTTTCCCGCGTCGCCCGACGCTTCGCGATGGCGCAAACTGGGGCGGTTCGGATGCCCCCCCGAAGGAGTCTTCTAGAAATGCCAGAGGCGGCGGGCCCCAGTGAAAATTGCCCCATGCGCCCGTCGGTTCGGAAATCCAAGAGCGACCAGCACCGGTGACAAGATAGTCGTTCCTCGTCATCTGTGCGACATCATCGGCATCTTAAGCGCGTGGAGCGCGGGCGATGGGTCCGGATTTTTCCGCCGCGTTTTCCAGCGGCGTTTCTTGGCGATCCATTGGTTCAGTGCCTCGTCGATTTATCTGAGTTTGAGATGGGCGAGCTCCTCGAGCAATCGTCCGAAGGTTGGGTCTGTCGGGCCCGCTCGGCTATCGTCGACGGCGCTGGCGAGGCGCGCCGTTTCTCGTGCGCGGCAGTGGCGAGAGGTGGCCAGTGATTGCGCCGGTGTCCTGTTCGCCCCTGCGCGGGCGAACGGCGCTCGATTCGTGGAGCATCACTCTCGCGCCCATGTGCAGCTGCCGGGAGATGCCGCGCCGAGGGCCGAACTCCTCGAGCTCCACTCCCGCTGGCGAGATCGTATTTCGGATGCAGGATTGGAGACCTTCGCGCTGCTGTACCACGCTTGTCAGAAGCTCCTTCGTTGCCCTGTCGGCCGAGTCCAGCGCGTCTCGTTGCGCTCAGAAAGCCATCGGGTGGCCGCGGGCCCATGGCGTGGCTGAGCGCACTTCGTTCGCATGTGGGGTCGCGTTCCAGGGCCCCTCTCTGAGCGCTGATGGGTCGACGCTCGCCATCGGGCCTGTTGGGGTTCGGGGCCTTCCGCGAGCACCTCTGGCGCCGCGTTCGCGCGCGATGTGGGGGGCGGAGGTGGCGGGGGCGATGGGGGCGCGCGGCGTGTCGGTGCTCATGGGCATGTTTAACGCCGCGATTGCATGATAGTTGGGCGTCGCCTTGACGAGGCGCGTGCGCACCACTGCCCGCTGGGAATGACGTGGCTGGTCCATTCGTGTTATTGGCGCTCCAGGTGTATCCAGGTGTTCGGGCCCCGTGGTGTCGAGGATGTTTCGGACCGGGGGGTCCTGGCTGGCCGCCGGCATGCTTGCGCGACGATGCATGTGTTTGTCTGCCGCGTGGCGGATCGATCCCGCACTCTCTCAATTTATGGCGCCCGGTGTTTTGATGGGCGACGCTAGCTTTCATTGGGTCGGACGGTTCGGTCACGCAGCTTTTGCTGTGGTAAGTGCGCAGGTTGTCAGCAGCGGGCTTGCGGCTCAGATGGTGGAAGCGAATGTAGGGGTGTCGGCTGTGATTACGCGCCGCTAAGGTTTTCGTCGCACGAGATATCCTGTGCGCGTTTTGTTCGGGCCCTCCAACGTGCGCGCCAGGGCGCGCGATGTTCGTGGGGGCGCATATGCGCGAGCGCAAGCTGCTCGCCTAAAGGCGCGTCGCCCAAGGTAAGGTCTGCATGTTGCGGCGCACTGGCGCGCTCCCTGCTGTCGCGCGCGGCGCTGGGGCTTCGGGCGTTGCCGATCTAACCGTCCCAAGCTGCGATGATTTGGAATTCGAGCACCTCGCTTGGTAGGCTGCAGCGTGCTTTTCATTATTTGAAGCCAAATTGGTGACGCCAGCCCAACTTGGCGATCGCGCAAAGGTATTTCACAGGTTTCCGATACCGAACCACCGTGTGCCGGCAAGTGTTTGGTGGGTTCAGCCATGTGGCCGCGAGCTCGTCGCAAGGCTGCGGGTTTGTGCCCGTCGTGCCCTGGCCAGTTGTGTTCCAAGTGTGTTGCGGGGAGCCATGGCCACCGTCGTGGGGTTGTGACGAGGTGCTTGATTGCCAGACTAGCGTGGGTTCTGCGCGCTCATATGACGTCGTGGAACGGCGAAGGGTGCGTCGGGATCGAGGGGGAAGTGGGCTTGAGCTGGCGCGCCGCTTCCCGCGTCTCCGTGTTGAAGTCCCTGCCGCCTCCTCCGAGCCCCCCGCCCATTCCTGGGGAGCGGCTGGGACGCCTTGGAGCGGTCGCATCCGCGCT